TTCAGAAATATCTCAATTTTCAAAAGGAAAAGCACATGGAAAAACAAACCTTAACAGTTCGAAAACGAAAAATGATTTTGGTGACACAAAAAGGAAAACAAGCAGATGTTTCAAAGATTGCAATAACATCAGTGGACAGGCATACAAAACCCCTCAACACAGCAAGAAAGCGAAACAACAATTGGAAAATCATGAATTAAAATTGGCGACTTGGCTCTCAAAGATTGAAAGGGATGCAACTTTTGAAAGATGAAAACCTACATCACAACAAACTCACTCGAAGCGGTTGGAAAGCAAACGGTTTTTGCACAAACAAGGACCATGACTTCACGAATGGACGCAAATGAGATCTTCGAAGAAATTGGAACTTACATCTGATGGAATTTGCATCAAAGGACTCGGAATTCAAACTGAGAGTTTTGGAAGCTCTTTCCTTAGCTAAGGCCCGCCAATAATCGAATGATATGAAAGTATTTGGAGCGAGATAATCAAGTGATTTCGAAACACAGGAATGCCGCGAAAAGTTTACTTGCAGCGGCTCTACCGGTACGTCCTCCGGGCACTCCGCTCTAATCCGCAGATAAAGAAAAACAATATTCAAGGGATAATCCATTTATGAGGTTTATAGCGGACACGCTATTCAATATAATTTATTCTTTTCCATTTTGGATGTGTGATAACACAACTGAATATTCGATTTCAATTCTGTTGAGTTTTTTTTAAAAACAAAAACAAAAACGCGCACCGAGTATATAATATTCATTGAATTTACATTGTAAATATAGACCAATATAACTGAATACTGCAGTCACATTTTTAATTTGTGAATATGGACCAAAACAACGGGATATAAAATATGTATTGTTATTTGCTTCTTTATCATTTTCCCCAAAACTCAATATTCAATATTCATGCCACTCATGGAGAATATGGAAGATATGAAAATTATACAAATTAAAACAAAAGACTGAATTTCAAATCACAACATTACAACTCGCAGCAATGTACTCCTTTAACCAATCAGCTTTGAAAAGTAAAAACAGGTAAGTATGTATTGAATGCAGGAAAGTCACATTGGTAGTGATGACATTGAGTGATTTTTTTTTGGCCATAAAATAATGATCAACCGTTAGAACAGTCCTGATCCATTAACCGATTTAAAACAAAAAAGTCAATTGAAGGTCAATCAATAACCAGGTGAAGTTCCATCTGAATTTCTTAGATATACACACGGTTTCAGCCCTGTTCATATCTGGAATCATTGATTCTACTTTGTTTTACTAACCTGAAATGCATTGCCATGAAATCCTACCTTAAGAAAACAAATTGAGGGCAAGTGTCATGGTTTGGTCAGTGTAGGACATTCTTGGCCTTGAGTACAAGTCACTGAGTGGTATCCAATAAATTAAACACTGCATAGAGGTGAAATTGGAGCCAGCTCGACTCATAACTTCGAGGATATGGCTTATCCAAACTGAAATATTGATGTTATGAGATCCCCAAAGCAAAGACCACTACCAGACCAAGTCCGCTCCTCGTGAATAATAAATGAACCGGAGATGCGTCTGGCTACCGCCTCGCTTGCTCCAGCCACTTCCGATGGGTGTATTTTGTTGAAACCATTACGATGTGAATATGACATCTTGCGGTTTGGCCACGCATCGCACAGGATCGATAAACTAGGCTTTTAGGAATTTTCTTCAAGAGCCAAGGGTATCAGTTGTCACTCTTATGGAAAATAAAAGACACATTTCACATTAGAGCGTGGCTTTGAATAACATGTATGTGTAAGGAAAACTGATGGTAATATAGGGCACGGGAGTGAATGAAATTTATGTACAGTACTAAATCTTTTGATACCTTTATGAACTAAAGCCCGGTTCATACTTCGTGCGAATGCGAAGCGAATTTGACGTCATGAAACATTCGCTGCGAAATTCGCCCGAGTTGAAATATGTTCAACTTTTACGACTTCGCAGCGCGAATACTTGCCACGACGTCACAAATGTGCGTTCGCTTTCGCGCCGAGTATGAACCGAGCTTAAGACGTACCGATTAATTTTAAGTTTTGCATTTTGCTTGAAAAATAACTTTTAAGAACTAACAGAACCCTGGTACCATCAGGAAAGAGAATTAAGCCCGGTTCATACTTCGTGCGAATGCGAATGCGAAGCGAATTTGACGTCATGAAACATTCGCTGCAAAATTCGTCCGAGTTGAAATATATTCAACTTTTACGAATTCGCAGTGCAAATACTTAGCATGATGTCACAAATTCGCGTTCGTTTTCGCTCTGGCGCCGAGTATGAATCGGGCTTTTACACCTTTTTCTGGTTTAGGAAACCAGCTGGAGAGCCAGGGACCAACGGTACAGGCTAGACCCCAGGGTCAGGGTTGGAGCGTAGGCAGAGACCGTGTATATACCGGATTTAAAGTAATTCGAGCTTACAGGACTATGCAACAGATTGTATTTTTCTCGGAAAAATAAAATCCTTTCAATTCTCAATGTCATATCTCGGTCCTCGACCAAATGTATTTGCTGCGAGTCAGAACACAGAATGTAAATTTAGTTATGTATTTATTTGTTTTATATTTATTTTTTTACACTTCTCCACTCGCTAATATAAAAAAAAACCAAGATATAAAAAATCACAGATTAAAAAATACCGAAAATTTACAATTTCAATAAATTGTTAAAAAAGAGTTTATGCCAGAAAAAAGAGTTTACGCTCGCTCAGAATTATTAAGCCAGTGAGTGGCAAGATGGAACAGGTGACTAACACCTCTACAAAGCCATCCTACTACAGGAAAACGAGATCCTATTATTTTTTTTATATTTAAGAAAAAAAAGAGGGGGCGGGGCGTATGATAGGTAGAAAAAGACCCAAAGGGAAAAACAAGGAAAAGAAGAAGGAAGAATTAAACAAGGGGGGGGGGTATGCGATACTAGAACTGAAAAGTGTTAATTTCAAGTGGAAGACTGGCGAGCGGAATAAAAGAAAACTGGCGAGCGGAATAAAGGAAATGGATATGGAGTTCAGTTGTTTTGACGATACAACCAAATCAAAGTCGACGACGACAATGACGCGACAGTGACGGTGACAATGACACGGAGTTGTAATCGAGTCAGTCACAAGTCAATTCACAAGTCAGGTCAGAAGTATCAAGAGATGAACAATGACAAAGGAATGACTTGTCACAGTTCATGTCAATAGCTTGTGATTTGACTAGGGACTGGATGACTAGTGATCGACTTGTCATTGACTTGTGATGGCTTGTGACAGACTCGATTACAACTCTGTAACGACAACGACAGTAACAACATCAGCAACAACAAAGATGACACTAACAACAACCGAAGTGACAGAACAACAGCAACGGCGACGTACGTCAACACAAATTAATTCGTAGGGTGCCAATGTATTCCCATACAACATGGAGATCTGGACATTGCACAAAAATGGGTTAATCTAACATCTATTTCAAGGCTCTTACAAATGTAGGCAAGAAGCTTGAAACAAAAAGTAAACAAACCCGCTCGCTCAGAATTATGTATATCTGTATTGACATTTCCTGAAAACCCAAATAAAATGCTGGAAATGTCTGTTTTGATTCAGCCGCTACTAAAACTTTCGCCGCCTCGAAAGGCAAAATGTCGACTATAATTTAAAAGGGATGCTTAATGGCTTTTCATTTGGAGGGCGACAGCAGACGCCGCTCCGCCGTGGTAGCGAAGAAAATGAGGGCTTCCTGCCGATGGATCCACTGCCGTTGCTCTGTCTTTCAATGACATCAAAGATGTGGGCGATTTTTTTTTTCTTTTAAGATGGTAATTCAGTGGGCTGACGTCAATTTTCGTTTTGACAATCGCTTAAGATGGGGCACAGATAACCGCACAAAGAGATATGGGGAGCCTTGGCAATACCATGCCTTCAGCTCATCTAAGGAGAGGCCGGGATTGAGGCTGAGATGCTTCCTTATTTTAATTTAGATTTTTTTTTTCACTTTGGAGGAAACGTCTTTGTGAAAAGCAGGAGGTCGTGTTAAGCAAGATATGCTTAACCTTCAAGAAGTCGATTGTGTCACCGACAATTATGGTGCACAGGTTTACGCAAAATGATTCATAATCACATACATACTGGAATTTGTATCCTTGTGGAGTCATGTATTTGTTCTCGTCTGCAAAATGCTCCTATTTTAACCAGAATTAATTTCCTGGGCTGACATTCGGACCAAATATCCCTTAAATAAAATACTTTATTTTGCGACTGATCAACACACCTTGGAAATTCCTAGTTTTTGAGTAAAATACATACATCTATTTTGTGATATTCACCTATACACCTTGCCCCGTGGAGACGTATACAATTTGTTGTTACTTATTGTGCACATGTCTCCACATGGTACCGTGTACCATGTTTTGAAACTTCACTTTCCAACTCGAAAACTTTACTACATGAGGACAAAGAAATGTCTCCACAAGAATACAAATTTCAGTATGTGTGACCTCATATGTGTATGTGGGGGCAGACATCGCCCATAATGCTTATGAAATTTCATGGGCGTAAATTCCGGGATGGGGGTGTATATACCCAACTCCCGATTTTTTGACCAGGAGGCCACTGAATCATCCCCCAGATTTGTTTGCTGGACCTCCCCAAAATCGGTGTGGTTGGGGAAAAAGCAGCTGTGAATAAAGAAAAAATAGCATCAAAGTCACTTAAAAAAATAGCCCACAGCGAGCATTTTAAGTCTGGGCTACATTTATTTAATAGTTTTCACCACCTAACATTCACCACATGCGCCACCTATTGTCAGGTGTTGTCAGCCCCCCCCCCCCATCGCTTTTCGAATTATTTTACAAAGTCCGGCGTGGTTTGAATATTTTGTAAATTTGTTCTTGATTGGCCAACTTATTCAATCTTCAACGAGGCAATATCCATTATTTGCAAAAGTCCAATACCATTTTATGTTTTTCTACCTTTGTTTTCCTTTTGCAGGATTGAATCGACCCAACAGTGCAAGATGCATAAATTTCTGACAGTCGTGGTGTTAATGTCGTTAGTCCTGGCGGTGACGAGTGAGTCGGAGGAATCGAAAAGGGCAAGGAGTTGCGGGTGAGTGTGACAAAATGGTAACAGAGACGCCTGGACACTAGTGTCAAGAAAGGTTGCTCTTCAAGGTTAAAACAAATTTAAACATAAAAAGTTACGATGATGAAGTTGGTCATTAAAGTGATGATGAGAAAAAATGACACGACATTCACAAGAGTGGCGAGAGCAAAGACGGAGCTTTTTATGACAACGGAGATCATTGTTTAGTTGGTGACTTTGCTGGCATCACTGACATACTGATAATGGCGACGATACCGACATAATAATGCAGGAGATATTGACGTCGATGATGCTTGTAATAATAGCGACAGTGGCGACATCTCAAACGTGGTGACAGTGGTGACAAATGTGAACAAGTGACAAAGATGACAAGGGCGACAAGGGCTACAGAGAAGACAAAGGTGATAAAGGTTACAAATGTGACAAAGGTGACAAAGGGACAAAGTGACAAAGATGACAAATGCGGCAAGGGCTACAGAGAAGACAAAGGTGATAAAGGTTACAAATGTGACAAAGGTGACAAAGGGACAAAGTGACAAAGATGACAAATGCGGCAAGGGCTACAGAGAAGACAAAGGTGACAAAGGTTACAAAAGTGACAAAGGTGAAAAGGGACAAAGTGACAAAGGCTACAAATGCTACACAGGCTTCAAAGGCGACTAAGGTGAACAAGTGACAAAGGTGACCAAAGTGACAAAGGCAACCAAGGCGTTCAAGGTGGCCAAGGTGACCTAGGTGACAAAAAGACGATGGTAAACAAACCAGATTGTTCCAATAAATGATTGTTGACATCATCCAAGCGGTATTCACCGTTCATAATAAAAGTGTAAACTTGTATATTTTACTTTCAGAATGAGAGCCGGAAGTAAAGGTGGCCAATGCAAAAGCAACACATCATTTATAAAAAGAATTTATGATGCATACAGGCGAGAGTAAGTCATATTCCCTATTTAGCAAATATATTGCACCATAACATTAATTGTTAGCTGTACTCAAGTCGAGCGGCCAGCGTTACTCAACAATTAAAATTGCAATTTTCCAAAATTTGAAGGTTTTTTTTTTCTCCAGCTAACGGCTTTGCCTGAATAATCAAATGAAAGGAAATGAAATTTGATCTCCTACTTTGCACAACTTCCATTTTTGAAATGACAGTGTTTGGCGGATGAATACTGGGACGCCTCCATGCCCGAGCGCCCATTGCACGTGCGTGCTGTATGATGGAATCGTATTTCACCGAAATCCGATTATCAGTTTTGGGAAACGGCGTCCACATTAGGAGGGCGCTATTTAATTCTGGTAAACTGCTATTATCGAAGTTAAATAGCGCCCTCCCATTGTAGTCATCATATCACAAAAAAAGGTTACTACGAAATAGAAACAACAGTTTCTCCTTGTTTATGAAAGTCATGTTATTTTTTTTAATTTTTTCTTAACTTCCCAGTGGTGTGGACACAGATACGCCCGAAGAGCGCGGCTGGGGCAATCTAGAAGCCGAACGGCGGGCCAACGAGGCTGCGACGGTCGAGGAGAAGTTGCGACTGCTAAACGAACTACTGGACGAATTGGAACTCTACGACAACAACATGAAGTAAAACACAAACCAGCACTGGAAAAAACCTCCTTTTTTGTTTGTTCCCTTCTAATAATAAAACAATATGTCCTAATTTTGGTGAAAAAAAACCCAAAAACACTGAAACACGTAACTATTTGAACTATTTGAATTTTGTTCGCCGTACAAACTGATTGAGGGCATATAGGATACTTTGCATTTGTCCACAAGTGACCTTGAGAACCATTATCAAAAAGCTTACTTGGATTTAAGATCGTACTGGTACTAAACACCCCGTGAACTTATTGCGTCTGGCTTGCTGTCATTTAGAAGAAATCAAGAAATGTAGGTGATTTCAAACGATCGGTCAATTAGACTGATTTTTGGAATAACAAGTGCCGTCGGCGAAGTCATGTTTCGTGATCAAAAGGTTGTGCAGGGTTTTCCACTATTTTCTCGAAAAGTGTAATATCCACTGAGTTGAAACTTCAACAGGTTAGGTTTTGAACATCTTCTATAGATTTTGAGTGGTGTTAGTACTGGAAACGAACAAATGCATGAAAAGCAAATTATCCTATATGCCTTTAACTACAATGTGAAAGTTATGAACAGGTTTTGTGTAAAATCATTTCTCGTTTGAAAATTTACCCTTTTCTGGCCTTGTATCACAAAAAATGTTGATGTCTACCTAAATTAGAAGACCGGGGAATCGGTATGTTCTAAGACAAGCAAAAGAAGTGTCGAGACACACGGTATTCCTTGCAAACACCTCGAAACCTTTATCTGCTTAACTTTAACGAGTGGTAACAAAACGCTATAACTTTATTACGAAAACTCTTTATAAAGAGCTTTTTGATTCATTGCCCCTAATTTGAAAGGGAGCTAAAAATCAACAATTATGAAATTTAATATCACGAATACAAAAAAGAAGAAGATTTGTTGGACTTGTTTTAAATATCTCCACTCTTGATGATTCGAAGATGAAGTTGCGACGTATGAAAAATACAGCCTTTGATGTAAATATTCCAGTAAATTAGTTGATTATTAATGGAAAACTTAACATTAATTACGGTGACTTACAGACACTATTTGACGTTGTTTTGTTTGTTAACCGTGTCTATCCCATAGATCTATCCATAGTTGATTATGGCGTTTTATGTATGTTATCTCCTTTTTTTGTTTACGCTACCTGCTCAAATAATGATCAATTTAAGGTTTCTTAAGGCAATTTACTAAGGAAGTAAGTAAAGTCAAAATATAAGATTTGTGTTTATTGCAAGCCCTGCTATTAAAGCATCATTTTATGTCAGCCAGTACTATCAATTTGTAGAACCTTAGGCGGCATCATGTTTTCAAATTACAACAGTTAATCCTCCTATAGGTCTCTTTCAAATGACGTCACTTCCTACAGATTACAGCCATGATTACGACGTATCAGCATTTTGGGCGTCAAAATTAATGTGCGCGCGTGACGCGCATCGGCTGCGCCGTATTTCGAAGAAAATAGCTACATGCGTCCGTGTTTAGAACAATGCACACTGCACGTACACGTATCTAATGGCGTTGGATATGCAGTTGTAATTTTCCTTCGAAGATTGCGTCCTATGAGAGAGATCTATTAAAGAGATCTCTTTTTAAAAATTTCGGCCTCCGAAAATAGTAATGATTTTCTCAAAACGATTATTTCAATTCTTTGTTTACGTGTGCGTTTTCTTATGGGAGCCACCGAGATCTCATTAGAAACTTTAAGTGTAAACAGAGCATGACGTCATTATGTCTCAGGTCTATCATTGTTTTCTGTTTGCACCGTTCCAGAAATGGGCGACTGTCAGTTTTTTTTTATTTTACAGCCGGTTGTTCTTAACCTTGAACAGCGCCCTCAGTGAAGAAACTTGCTACAGCATTATTTTTTTGTTTCGTGTCGACAGAGGGTGCACTTTTAGTGTGCATTCTCATTGTTTTCCCATGACGGCCTTTAGTGGTCTTATATATGCATGTCAATTAAAAAAAATTGGCTATTCCAACGCTAGATTGTTATTAATTTGAGCGTATCAAAACTAGAATTCCTTTTTTTCAGGATCGAACTCTTACTTTTCAAGATGGCATCGTCCATTATGACTCATGTAATCATCAAACGTACTTGTCACCATAAAAAAAGTTAAAAAAACCCCTAATTTTGATGTTTGTTTGTTGTTGAATTACATTCCTGTATACCTGAAATACGATTTCCTGATTGTTAAGATCTTTACTTGATTTTCTATCGGTGTACTAAAGATTCCGATAAACACTGCTTTTATGAAAGTAAGGCTGATTTTTTTTTTTGGGGGGGGGTCATTTAGTGTTCGGTTGTAAATAATAGTTATTAATAGTTAGTGCTTTAATTAGCTATCAGTGGAAATTAAAGGAAAACAAAATAAGTGCCAATATCAAGCTATAGCCATTATTATGTTTAGCGTAAAAATGAAAATATACCTAAATTTGCTGAGTTGTGAATTAGAGAGAAAGTAAGGAAAGATCTGGAAGCAGATCTTCTGACGGATACCTGAAAAGCAGAGTTTAAATGAAGTTCGTGCAAGTCAGTCACTTGAAGTCACTCAATTTCAAGTCAAGCGACGAGCTATTGACAAATAAAATGCGATCATATGACTTGTGATTTGACTTGTGATTTGACTTGTGATTGGCTTGTGATTTGAATTGTAATGGCTTGTGATTTGATTTGAATTGATTTGATTAACAGCTCTGTCAAAAGGCCATTCTCTTTTTGTTTTCAAATATAAATATTAGAAGAGGACGCCGTTTGAGGTAAGGTGATCATGTTAATCTCAGCAAAATCAAACAAAAGTGAAATGAAGGGGAATAAAGATGATTACTACATTGAAATGTCGCAGAAACCAGAATTATTTGTGTCACGTCTTTCAAGTTGAATCGTGGGCAGTGTGCCTCGTAGCTCAGTTAGACAACTTGTACTTTGTTTTGAAAAAGGGAAACTTGGGGGGGGGGGGTAGTAAGCCTGTGACCAGGTTTAAGTCCAAGTAAAGACAAACGATTTCTCGTCCTGGCGTTTAGAAGAACTAATGGGAAGAAGTGGTCCATTTCTCCCTTAACATGGCGGATTTTCCAAAAACGGAGGATGGATTCTTCCATTTGTTTCTCAACTTTTTACTAATACTTTTGTATCCAAAGGAGGCGTTGACCTTTCTACCAGATATTGAACCTGTATACAAAGCTACACAATTTGCTGGAAACAAACAAAATGACAAAATATATTGCAAACGGATATTGATGAAAAAGGCAAAGAAAAAGGAAGTTGGCAGGGACGAGAATTTGGTTAATCGTTTTACTTGGCCGAAAGCAAAATTGGGTCGGGGTCGAGTCCCGTCACGACACAAACTCTAAGCAACAAGGCCAAACGGAGGCTTCGTCCTTTTGTCGCTGCTTGTTTCACTTCATCGTTGTCCATCAGCTACTCTACGTCGAAGGGATGCAGGCATGGGGCAGTATTTCATATCGAAGACTATATCCACACTTGCTTTCATTATGGTGAGATAGTTTAAATGGCTCATTAAGCTTTAATGACACTAAATAACCCGTGTCTGCAGCAATCAGTGTAAAACGTCTTTAAACCTGCACAAGTAAAGTGTTTCAAAAGAAACATCTGGCCCTAAGGCCAAAAAACCTCTCCGGTTTCTGGTATGCGCGCGCGTCGACGTAGCCATGCTAGTCGGCAAAATGAAAAAGTTTGTTTTTCAATGTAAGATGATGTCTCAAGACCGCCAACTCACTAGTTTGACTGGAATCCTGCTGCTGCACAATTTTAACGTGTTTTTAGATGGGGTTACAATCGAGTATAAGCTTTATGTGACCTCTCTGGACTCCCATGTATTTTGCACTAAATTTAGTCTGGCACCATTTGCAGTCATCAGCCGACATTTTATGAAAAAAAAAGCAAAAAAAAAAAAAGCCGCGTCGCTGCACCACTTTTGGGGCAAGCTCCATACCAGAAACTGGAGACTTTTTTTTTGGCCTAAGGAAGCATGTTGTATACATTCCAAAATTCCGCACGACTACGGAAGGAACAATTACAACAAGCCCCGCCCATGGCGCACCTGGGCAAAAACGCGCATCTGGGTCATTCCATAAATTTGGGGTCCAATTTTTTATTTGTGTCACTGTCACATCTGATTTAAGATTTTTGTAAATTCGACATTCGTTTGTGCCCTCTGTAATAGTGATAATGTAAAGCACAGGACCTGCCAAACAAACACCAATTAGTATGAAGTCAATTGTAATGATACTTCACGGCAAAATTACACAGGTAAGGTATAACGGGGACGCAAGGAACTATCACACTTTTGGACCCCAAATTTATGGAATCACTGCGTTGCATAATTAGCGATGATGCTTGATCACCGCACGTATTATAGCCCGTACCTTTACAACCGTTGGGCGAGCCATTGAACCATTTCGCGATCGCTGATTGGTTTCCAGGGAAAGCCTAGGGAGAAAATATAGAAAATATCAAACCGCTGATACGAAATGGCCCAGACGTTATTGCAGGCGCGCTGGTTTCGCTCGTACACCCCCCCCCCCCCGCCCTGCAAACAGGACGCTGGGATACTGTGATGAGCTTCACAGAATCTTGTAAAAGAAGTGGCCTATGACCTAAGTATAAAGCATCTGGCTGCATTTGTTGAAGACCGCAGTTAGACAATGTGCGAAAATGCTATCCGAAAACTTCCCATAGAAATGCGCGCATTCCATACCGGATGTGATTTCTGTTTCATTGCGGACCATGTAGACAAAATTTGAGCGTCGCATAATGCAATTCGACCGTTCGTGATTCGAAACGGAGCCTGAGCGAGTGACGGAACTGTAAATTTACAACACAGAAAAGTTGTACAGAATTTCCTACATTATTACGCTTTTCAACGAAAAAAACCATCTCCTAAACTGGAATAAGAGAGTAATGAATCAGTCTTAACGGCCGTTTTAAACCTTGCAGAGTCATGACCGTGATGACGCGCAGGTCACAGGTCACGCAAAATCCAACCAATCAGAGCGTGAATTCATCAGAGTATCCCAGCGTCCTGTTTGCAGGGCGGGGGTGCGAGCGAAGCGCGCTGGTCTAATCGTTGTGCCATTAGAGGGCGCACTATGCACGATCCACTATCGATCACTAGCCTTTTGAGCCAAGACTAGCACCAATGTTGTCCTATGCATCAATTTTACAAATTAACAAAATAAATGATCTTCGTTTCTGGTGAAAAAAATGATGGGAGAAGAGCCCATTAAAGACAATATTTGGCAGGACAAAAATTCTTGGATCTCATCTTTACTTTAGTGAAATTTTAAACAATTTTGTTGGCTAATCTACATTTTCCTATTTTTTTTGTGTGCATGACTTTTTCTCTGCATTTTCAGTATGCATTTACCAGATGCCACAGGGTTTCGTCGGCAGAGGTAAGATTCTTTGCTCCGGGGATTTCTACCGGCGAACTGTGACTTCTCAGCCGGATTGAAGAATGTTGGTCTTTTGGGAAATCAATAAACTCGATTCCACTCAGTTATAAATGGATTTAGCTTCGGTTTTCAGACACTTTTGCCCAAAACGGAATCATTTTGTCGACAGGATGTAGTTTACTCCAAGTCATCCAGTTATTATATTCTTGATCAAATATTCTCCCCCGTACACGCAAAATCCTCGACCACTGGTACTGGGCAAAATAACTTGCTCGAAACTTCAATTGCGCATGTGCACACAATATGTTCCTCAAATTTGAAGGGGGAGGGGCGACTTGCAAGTAAGGGGGGGAGGGGTTACCACCTTATTTTGATTGAGGGGCCTATTTTCTCTTTTTCTCATATCTCATTCACATTTCCCTCATCCGTGGGTGGGGAAAAGTAACCCAATGTAAAACATTTCGCCTACCCTCCTCTCCTGCACTTACTCGAAATTAAACAAAAATAAAAATATTGGGGGACGGGACAATATCTGTGTGTGGGTGGGGTGGGGGGGGGGGGGTAGGTGGCACATGAGGCGGCACTGGGTATATGGTGGGGGTCGTTTCGCAGCCCCGCCCCTACTCCCGTGACTACGCAACTGGCAGTGTGCAATCAAAAGCTGTATCTGAACATGTTGACCCCCCAAAAAATCGTATTTATTTAAACAACAATTTCCGTCGTGAGTTTTCCTGCACTTTGGACTCTGATTAATAGAGCCGTGTGAAAATGACTTCATAAGCCCATGAACAAACAAGTGATGAACGCATAGACCACGAAACGCAGGCTTCTATTTGGTGACTGTGTCATCGAACAGTTAAAAAAGTACATGCAAATATATTTCTATAAGCGTGCTCTATAACAAGCCGCTGTTTGTATGGTGAACCTGTCTCCATTTAGACACCCAGACGTGTTTTTTTTTGTAAACTTCCCATAGGCTTTTCATAGCTCATATTGTGACTTTCACGAATTTCAGGCAGTTCATTATACGCATTTGTTAGGTATTGTTGCGACCTACATTCCGAGGCTATGTTCGATATTCAATAGCATTACTTCTTTGATCATGTTGAAGCAGTCGGGTTGGGCGCGGGCCTAGGGCCAAATATTCCGGTTCCACAAAGGTGGAAAAATAATATTATTGTGTTTGGATGACTAGAAATCCATCACTCAAACTTGTCGAACGGTTCAAATGAAAATCCTGCTCATACGTCACCAGCCGACAAACCACAATTCACAGAAAATACTCCACACCATGAATACTGTGGGTTTGTTTTACACAATTTTTTATTTAAGAGGGCGAGAAGTGTTTTGTTTGGTCTCACGTCTGGCATTCGCAGCTATTGTACTTGCGACTATGCACCCTAAGGCCAATGCTGAGCACCGGTGCCTCATAATCTATACACCCTTTATCAAAATACCTGAGGTAAATAATTGACAAAGCTTTTGATTTATCTGGTGACAGGTTGGCCAAGTTTACTTTGAGGCTGGGCATTGTGTGGGGGCGGATAGCTATAGAAACGATAGAAACCCGTATACATCGCACCGCTGTAACCGCACCAACAGGTTACACCACCGTTGAAACTCCACCACAAGTAAACGCTTGAGCAACCATCTGTGAATGACTGCCGTTAAGGGAAGGACATTTGTCACACCTGTCATGCTTTGTTGTTGAGATGAAAGAGGAACAAAAATGACAAGGGTTGGCTAGACAACTTAGGTGTAGGAGAACAAGTTCCATTTCGCATCAGAGCACACGTCGAGAGAGCTTGGAGGTATCTTGTGTACACGGTAAGTCCATTTTTGTCCACATAAAATAACGAGTGTATTATTCAAATGCGGCCACTGTTCAGTTGTGACTAAAATTAAAGATGGCGGTTTTGTTTTGATTTGGGAGGGCGTCCTGCTGCATTCGAAATTTCTCCCATTGGTCAGTCTATAAAAGGGATTACAATGAATAAAAAAGTACAACAGCGGTGCCAATGGGACTGGCATGTTTATCTTTAGAAATCCTTTGGAAAGGTTTCGAGTTCGAGAGCCCACTCAAAAAAATCATTACGAGAAGAGAAAATATCTAGTGTTATTCAGCATTACATGTACTCATGCCGCAGTTTGTTTTCCATACTTTTGACTGAAGGATTTTTTTTTTAAAGATACAGCAAAATTGTGTGTGATAGATGTCGTCCATGATCTGAAGTTTGTGCATTTTTATACAATTTATACAAAGTTTACACAAGTATAAGCTATTTCCAAAACTCATACATGCTTTGATTTAGGCCAGTCTTTTATTTAGAGAATACTTCATGCGTTTAAGTAATTGTTAGATGGTTGTTTTGGGGTTTTGCCTGGTGCTTGCAGTGTTGTAACGAGTCACTGAATTTTGTTACTGGAGTCGAGTCGAGTCATTGTAAAAAAATGGCTCGAGTCGAGTCGAGTCATTAGGTCAAGAAGGTCGAGTCAGTCGAGTCGAGTAACACTGTATGGTCGAGTCGAGTCAAAATAATGCATTGATAGCCGTGACTCGAGTCGAATCAATTACCCGTTGGGAGTCGAGTCGAGTAGAGTCACCAAAAATTGTGACTCGAGTCGGACTCGAGTGGAGTCATTGACTCGAGTCATGACAACTCTGCTTGCCTGTTCTGCAGAGATCATTGCAGAAGGCTACTCGTCATCAGTAGTTTGGTGTGGAACTTTCAAATGGCATGTTTATAATGTTAATGTGGTAGGATGTTGAAGAGAGACCCTCTAGTCAGGGGTAGATTGAGGATCTGTAGTTGTGACTATGGTTTGTATCCGTTGCATTGTAACGTTGTGGTAAAGAGATGGGGCTCCTCGATTAGGTGTTCATTTGTCCCAATTGTTGTAAGCGTTGTGGAAAAGGCTCGTTTGACAGGAGACCTATCTTGGGGTGATCGGAATACTGCTGTGGAGGTATCTGTAATGTTGGATTCCGCTAGATCTGGAATCTGGAAGGCTGAACATCAAAATAACCCCATCAATCGTAGGGGTAGAAGGGCAGTAAAGCTTTGTGTATGTTATATTAAGGTTAGTTCGTCCAAAATAGCCGAGTCGAGCTTGTGTTTCCACACACGCACCCACGCACACACACTCGTCCCGAGACAACCAGATCGTTGAGTCAACTCGACGTTGATACACCTCGACTGTTGAGACAACTTGTGATAAGCTGAGACGTCAATTAAGCCGTTGAGTTGTCACAACGATGCCCGAGGTGTACCAACGATAAAGTTGACTTGAGTCGAGTCGACCGACTGGTAAGCTTTGACATTTAAAAGTAACACTGTCCATTTTGCTTCCAGGTTACCTTTGTTTGTTGATTTGCCTCTCCGATAAAGGCGAGATCGCCACCATGAGGACCACGTCCCCAGCCGTGCTTCTCTCTGTTATGATCGTAATGGCGGCGGTTGTCATGCCAACTGTAGCCAGAGTGAAAGGGCGCAAGAACTGCAGGTAAGTTTGAGTTAATCATTGAGATAAAGCTTGTGTCACTTTTTTGGCATTATGTCTTCCATTTTGGTTTTACTTGCTTCAAAGAACTTGATATTGTATTTGAGCACTTAGGCTTCATGTCATTTTCGATTTCGGCTTAATAATCTGTTTAAATTTGTTTTTTTTTCATATACAGGACAAGAGCTGGGAAAGGTGTAGGCTGTAACAGCAGCGTGTCTTTCTTTAAACGACTACTCGATGAGAAATACAGGGAGTTGAAAGGTCAGCAGGACCCGGAGGTCCGAGGAGATGACCCGGAGGACAAGATGCTGCTTCTCCTCGAGCTGCTTCGAGATGAGAAACGCGGGGATTCGTAAGTCTGACTTTGTTTCACTAATCTCTATGTAGACAATCTAGTTGGCCATTCCGAGCTGTACAAAAACAGTGAAGCTACGCACTGGTTCCCGATCCCCTCCATTCGAATGTGAGGAGGGAACCAGTCTCAGTGACTCTCTTTGTTCAAAATAATCAAAATACAGTCGTCTAAAAGGATGCCAAACTTTTTTTTGAAACAGAAATTTTATATAAAAATATATTGTTGCCTCTTTAATTCTTTTTTAAGACAACAAAATAATCATTTGTCAGATAAAAAGTGTATACATGTCAATGAAATTACATGTATATATCTTTCTGTACGATTCCATTGTTCATGGAGCGGCAATCCGCTCCGTTCAGAAGTACCCCCTCACCGGCAAAGAAAGTACAGTTGGGGGTGACCGACCGACGCCATCTTGCCTGACTGCAATTCATTTGCCGCGAAGCTATTTTCTAATTTACCTATAAAACTAGATTTGTGTTGTGTTCCTAGAAACATAAAGATATTCACTTTGAATGAGACATCGAACGAAAAAAACCACCGACATTTAGTTATTAAATTATTTCTTCACAAAAATTGAATTTTGGCTGCCAGACAAAACTCCGCCTCTCGCAGGACGGGTTCATTTGTGCCAAAAATGAAAATCCTTTTTATCCCCAGAGGGTTGCAGACGCCGAAAATAGGAATAAATTATATTTTTATCCGTTAAAACAAAACATACAAATGGAAGATTTGTTAGGAGAAAAGAGTCAATTTTTTGAAGAGCACGGGATATGCATCCTTAAATGATGCCACTTGTCTCTTGTGTTATTTATTGCAATGGGATTATCAAGCGTGAGTTGATTTCACTGAACAAAACAAAGCCATCTGTGGCAAGATGTCGTAGACTTACATTGTAATCGTCACCATGCAGCACACTTAACAGTAAAGGTGAACCATGGTATGCTGAGTGGCATCGCGTACCCTCGCATTTTCGAAATGTTGTGATTGCATTGGTTGCCAAATACCGTGCTTTGAGTAAAATCTAATATTATTTTCCAAAGCTTTTCAAAACACAGAGCCTTTTTTGAAGTGGGGGAAAGACAGGGTCTTTCTCGGGTCGGAGGTCCAAAATTGGGTCGGTCGGAAATGAGGAACATAGAATAGAAAATCGATGCCCAAATGGAAACCTCCTTGGCAAGCCCTCGATCGTTCTAGAGGGCGCACTTCCGAACATACAGCTAGCAGCGGAGGTTGGGGTGTGCCCAACATGCCACTCACTTAGTTTTATGCTACTGAAATAATCTCTGCTCTTGGTTTCAGAAATTTGGGAGAAAAGGAAGATGAACCGGACCCGGAGACGCGGGGAGAAACGGATGACCTAGAGGAAAAGATGCTGCTTCTTCGCGAGCTGCTGCTGGAACTAAACGACACATGAATCCAGCGATAGGCGTAGGCCATATTTCCTAGCAATAGAGAGCGCTGCCACGGGGGCGCTATTTTTTTCGTACCACACGCTGTTTCGAAGTACGTTGAGTTGCAAGTCAGGTTCTCGGACTTTATTTTCCCTTGAAAAAAAAATCCTCCAAACCACATATTGGTAAAAGAAAAATGTTCCAAATGAATAACAAACCTTTTTAAGTAAAAAATAAAAGTAAAGAAGAAAAATTAAAAAAAAAAAGAGTAGCCAATGGGAATCAAACTCGCACCACCGGGTTAGTAAGTCTGTAGTATCCACTACACTACAGCAGTGACTCACTGGAAGCGGTTGTTTTAAACATTATATTATTGCATATATAGGACCCTCCAGCATAATTCTATATGCATGTATACTAGAGAGCGTGTGGTATGGAAAAAAAATCGCCCACGCGGGGGGGGGGGCACAATCACAGGTTATTGAGGTACGTTCACATTTTACTCTGAATCAATACATATTTTTGCTCCATTCGCTGTAAAATAGCGGCCTTCTGTGGACACAAAATGTCTTCCATTTTCATCGCACACAAATACACTGAGTAGTTAGAGGCCGTAGCGGCGATAGCATTTTACCTGGAAACCATACTTGGTCCACAAACCGCGCGCTAAATGCATTGCCCGTCACAGAGCCATTGTAGTGCGCCCTCTTTAGACATGCTGATCACTATTATTATTTGTTTTCTGATCTCAAAATGATTATATGAGCGTAGATATAGGTATGCAATCTAAAGAAGATAAACGATTTTTGAATGTACAGGAACATTTAGCATACAGAAAATAACAAACAAGGGAAACTTAAAATGTATTCTTGTATATAGCTTGAACGTAATGTAGCTTTCTGCAGGGAAGGGTCATTATATGCAAGTAAAGTTTCAATGGCTAGTGTAGGCTATTGGAAATGTATATACAGTTTTTATGGCCATTGCAGGTTATAAAGTGAATTGCACATTTTTGTATAAGTTAACAAATTTCATCTGATTACGTCAATGTTTGTAGCATAAAATATATTCGAAAGATTCCCTCCAGTTGAGAGGGATGGTAAGCCAGTAATGAAAAAGAAAACAAAAACGAAAAACAAGGAACAAGGAACAAATACAAAATTTGGAATGGAAATATCAATGTCCATTTTTTACATGGTAGTTGAATCGTAGTGATATGTAAATACATTTGCAAGCTTGAAGGATAACACAACAGTTGCAAAAATCAAAAACCAAAACTACCAAATTATTATGAAATATCTTACTGGACTCTTAGTAAATGACGGTCTAAAGTGGCCTGTAAAATCATGGTACCTGGTGTGCAGTCATTTTCAAGAAAGTGGTGTTTTTGTATCAATTTCTAATGCTGGTCGGCCGACCAGCGTTGGAAAAACCTGACTTTTTTCAACTACTGCCTCCAATTTACCAAATTTATTTAGTCCACATTTTGTTGGCAATTAGTTACACGTCCGTGAACGGGTGCGAGCCAGCTAGAGTGTTTCCCCGACCTTACAATTCCCCAACGTCTATAAATTGCTCTGTTTCGTCTTACGTGGGGTCAGGGAACCAGACTACATGAACATTAATGTTTTTCTTGTTGTTTTATTTTAGCATCTACGAGCACAAAACGTCAAACAATTCAGTGTACCAATATTTGCTATAAAATAGTAACCCACCAAATCCATCTATTTCTGAAAATTACAGCAAAAGCAAATGTTGTATATTCCCTTTAATCATTGTACTACTATAAGTAGCTGTACATATGCAAAGAAGACCACAAGCAGGCAGTTTGCATTTTGGTATAATCTGTCAGATTTATTTCAAATTTATAAAAAATAACGCACTAAATTGGCATTTCTATTCAGAGTTACTTGAGAAAAATATATTATGTGCATTGAAAAATGTTATGTGGTATTAAATGCCTAATAATTTTAGTTCATGTTACAACTGTCTATCCCGTGACAACAATTCCAAGATGTTGAGACAATCCGTAAAGAAAACAAAATAATCAAAACCAGATAAATTTCCCACGTTACAGCACACCAGGAAGGTGCGTAAAGGATTTGAAGGAAACTATATAAAGGAGATCAAGTTTTACACCCTACTTCCATTTACATTTTTGCATAGTTTTGAAGAAGAAAAAAAACATGGTTGTAAACAGGTGCCCCAACAAACCTAATTTCGATTAGTGGCAGGTGGCAATGAGCTGCTCAGACAGACATTTTTGTTACGCATGAAAATAATTCCTTTTTAGCCAAAATGCATAATTTTCAGCCAAAATAACAAAATCGATATTACTTGTCATTGATATCAGCTATTTTTTTTCCAGGACATGAACTTAATGAACCGTGATATTCCAAACACAGCAGCTGCACGACGTTGGTCCCAATTGGAGGTTGAAATTGAGTTAGGGCCAAAAAAATGCTGTGGGGTGATTTTGTTTTTCGATTTTCTAATTTTAACATATTTGTAATCTTGAACATGACTAAAATATACTATACAATTTAACTCTACATATAGTGTTTTTAGTGATTTGTTAAGGTATATCAGTTAAAGAAGTGTCATTTGAAACAGGTCTTAAAATAGACCCCAAACTTTAACTGTCATTTTCTCCGTAATCTACTTTTAAACACGATGGACTTCAAAATAGCATAACTTTGCCTAGGAATGACCGGTTTCAAATATTACACCACCCAGTAAAAGGAAATTTTTGACCTTATGCCCAGAAAAGTCTGATTTTGACAAAAGAGGTCACATATTTTAAACCTGAAGAGAACTATTCTACCCGCCCCACCTGAAGAACGCTAAACATCCACTAATATATGAAGCTTAAAAGAATATTTGCATATTCGTGCCAACATATTTAACCTCGAATTGCATTTTTCAAAGCCTGTCACCTTCACAGAACAAATTGACATTCCTCCTGCTCATAATGTATGAACTTTAGCTGTAGTTATATACTAGCTTAATGTTCTCTTGAGTCGGGCCTACACTATAAAAAAGGAAAATGAAATCGAAAGTAAGACTACGCGAAATCAATGAAAGTGAACATAAATATTAATTTTACATAAAGTTTGCTTTTACTGCGAAATTTAACTTCTGTTTTGTTTTGGTTTTTGGCTTGTTTTGTTCCCTCAACTTTTGTGTGATTAAAAATAATAAAGTCAACTGTTTCAATTTTTTAACATAATATTCGGAAGTTGTCTTTCAGAACCCTAGGATTTTTTCAAACGTCGGCTTTGTCTCTGGCTACGGCTACAGGTTTCAACCCTGACCTACCACCCGCCATGCCAATCTAGCGTTTTGCAGCTCCATATGTAACAATACATTTGATGTCAGCGATAATACGCCCACCATTCCAATGTATTCCGGAGCCGAGATAGAGCCGCGGCTGAAGACGAAGCCGAGTTTTGAAAAATGACAAGATTTTCTAAGTTCTATTCTTCCCGCAGGACTTTCAACAGCAGTTGTCTGAGGTGTTCGTCGCTACGCGCGCGCTCCGCATCCTCCCCTTCCAATTCTCTTCTTGGCGGTCCCCGCTCTTCTTCTTCCAGCGTAAAGTCCTGCTGCCCTCCGAAATCCTTTTTCTCGTCCTCCAGTAGGAGGTCTAGCGCCCTCTGTAGTGTCTTGTCGTCCAACTCGTCAAACTTAAGGTTCTTCCTTTTGGCGGAAAAAAATGGCAACAGCATTAGTAAGAGAAGCTTTACGTTGAAGTTGGGGGACATGCATAACTTGTCCATGCATTTGTCTGTCTTACAAGAAAGTTGCCGTTATTTTTTTTTCTTCAAAAAGTTCTTTTTTCTTTATAACCACCTAACTTCAAACGTCACGTTCATTAACCTATGACATGCTTCTTTTTAGACCACTTATTACAATTAGGTGTGGATCAAAAAAAAATACCTGACATTTTCCAAAATTGCGGACACCATTTCTTGAATTGAATTACGTAACACACACCATCTCTTATCACACCGTCCTCATCTTGACTACACGAGATGTCAGTGCAGCAGACACATTTATTAAAACCCCGCCCAAACACGTTTTGACGAATCACAGTCATGCTAATCACTAGTCATATTTTTGCATATGACGCGCTTTTGGAACAAGCCGATGTTGCGTCGGATAGAGGTGCACGTGTTGTTGTCCACGTGCGCAATGGGGCGGAGCTTAGCATTGGTAAATTTTAATTACCCTCCGACCTTCATCACATTTCCGTTCTCCTCCTCGGCGAATTGACCAACCTCACCATTAAAGGGGCATTACGGCCAATTGGGCTACAAAACGCGTTTTAAACAAAACAAGTAACCAATAAAAGTAAACAAATAAAAAAAAACATGTTATTTGCGAGGATTTCAGGCAGTAATGCTCCTTTCAATCTGCATCACAGTACAAACCTTTCCAGCAGTTCCTGGATGAGACCTTTTTTGAAAGTTCCTGAATTGTGCTTGCATCTCGCCAATGACATTCTAAACATAGACAAATATCCACCCAACAAGGGATAAAAAGACAAGAGAAAAAAATCAATGTGATTTCACCATAATGAACGCAAAAACAGACAGTTTGCCCTGCAAACGGTAGTCGAAAATATCATTTGTTTCAAGTAATGTAAAACAGATAAAGGTACACTCATAAGTGTTTTGTGTGGACTTCAAGTAGAGTACCCACTAAACGTTGAGGAAGAAAACAACCCAGTGATATTGAAGGTCAATTTAGTGTGGTTCCCTGACGTCTCATGAGTAACTGTCTTATTGAAAAATAATACATGACGAAGCCAAGACCACTTCTTGCACGAGTGTCTACTTGAGGAACGAAATCTTTGAAATAAATTAAGCTACAGAAATAAATTTGGTATCATTGGATAGCCAATGATTTGCGCTTTAACATGATGTACATATTGTGAAAAGTTTTCTCAGCACAAAAATCCGAGGGGGTGGGGTGGGGTTGGGGGGGGGGTGATCCAATGGCACACCTCTGGTCAAAAATTGGGGGTAACGGTATATCCTCTACACCCCTCTCGGATTTACGCCCAATATACTTAATACAGACACTGGCTAACACATGGTGTGCCTTTATAAAGGACACTAGAAGGTCGAGTCCAACATGATCGTTAGTTAAAACAAATATCGACATAATTTCTCGCGATATCTTACCCAGGGGGACATCCTGCTTGAACCGATAACGTCAGCCCAATGATCAAACACGCAACCAGGAGCAACCGAGCCATGGCTGTCATTCACTTTAACACCTAGAGGAAAGGAAAGAGTACACTTATTCCACATAACTCGATTCAATTTCCACGTACTGCTGGATAGCTCAGTCGGTAGAGACCTGGAACGGCAATCCGGATGTCACAGGTTGAAACCCCTTTCCTTTTTCAGATTATTCAAAGTCGACAACAGTTAATTCTGAGAGTCAATCAAAACCAAAAACTAAAACGTAGTTTTTTTCCCTTTGTTTTTCATTATGTTCTTACTTATAATCAAGACTGTATTCATATTTCCTGTACAATTTACACGGATACCCCTTCTTTTAATGCACGCAACATTACTTCAATGTTTGTCAAATGTTGACATCCCTTGAGCCGCTACTACGTCAGTTAGTTGGCTCAAAAACGGAATATGCAAACACTAACAAACCCTAGACCCACTGTCATTTGGAAATAGTCACAAAGACATTTCTGAGCCAAAACACTCGAAACATTTTAGCAACTGGTTTACAGTGCGTGGATCAATACTGCGAAACGAACGGCAAACTGTGATAATGTTAGGAGTAGAAAGACGTTCTTAAATGGCGTTAGGGGACAAAATGACGTCATGCAAGACGCGGCAGATCGATACATTGCAGCCGTTTGTTGAGTGAGGACATCGGCAGGATCAGCGACACCTGTCAGACTGTCCCCCTTTCGATTCGTTTTACTTGTGTAGGGCCTACTACATTTCTGTACAATTTCACTGTAAAAACGTTGGGCAAATAGGTTGATATGTAGACCAACGCTGGTCAACATATCAACAGGTTAAACTCTTGGACAAATTCTTCCCTAATAGTTGGACAATTTTTACCCAAATTAGGTAATTTTAAACCAATGTTGGTTAAAAATATATTGCCCAACAGTGTTTTACCCATTATTTTTTACAGTGTACGAATCTGAATCACTGATCTCTATACAAAAACTCTGGATAGGTCATTGGCTGTAGAAGTGACGTCACCGTCCGCCATATTACCACTTCCATAACAATGGAATTGTAAACAAATCTAACCTCGCCGGTCAGACCGACCTTGTCTGGATGAGGCCTTCACGAGATAAGGGCATCATTTGCTTTTCATGCAGTTTGTTCGTTTCCAATGATAACAACACTCAAAATCCAAAGCAAAATGTTCAAAACCCAACCTTTTGAAGTTTCAACTCAGTGGAAATACCCCTTCTTGAGATAATAGTGAAAACAAAAAAACATGAACAACTTTTGATCACGAAACACGATGTCGTCGGTGGCACCTTTTAGTTCCGAAAATCAGTCAATTGACTGATCGTTAGAGCCACCTACATTTCTTGATTTCTTCTCAATGACCGCCAGCCAGACGGAATAATTTCACGGGGTGTTTAGCACCAGTACGATCTTTAATCATAAAACGATCCAAGGGAAGAGTTTATTTCCAATGCGCGACATATCCATTTGAATAATATGTCGCCTTATAGTTTTGAGTTGTGTTTAAGTGGCCTTTCATCACGGAACGAGCTTAATTTCTGATATTGTCATTTTGCAGTTCAGTTGGGCAAAGCCAATATTTGAAAAGGTGGTCGATTTTTGTTTTGTTCTCAGGTGAACCTCAATCTGTAAGTCCTGTGCTACCTTTCTCCAATTTTTAATTCCGTCAAACATCTTTAAAACCTATTTTATCCCATCTATTATATAAGTTGAGTGTTAATCCGCTGTAACACAACTGCAGCATTTTTAAATGCCATTTTCTCAAATATCGGTTTCACCACTTCAAATAAATTGGTGGTCTATAATTTCGATTATTGAACTCAGTATACCCCTTAATATTAAATACCATTAGAAAGCTCTTGTTCTGGAGAATCCAGATAGATAAATATCACAATTCTTAAAAAAAACCTTCGACTTTAAGCTCATTTTGCGATGACAGGCCACAATAGCAGTCGTCGAAATTGCTTTTGGGCAGCCGGAAGAGAACAGGATTCTAAGAGGGAACAAAAATGGCGTATATCGCGTTTTGGAAATAAACTCTTCAAATGTCATCTTGAACTACTTGACGATTACGTTCCCGCACCGTTATTCATATATGCGCGCAGCGCAATACTTTTGCAGCCTCCAATCGCGCACCGCTATGCAAATGAGGTCTCATTCATTTCGTTACACGGGGAGTTCTTCTCAATACGTCAGGGGCATGTTTGCAGATCTGGCAACGATTTAACGACCAATACACTCAGTTTGGTCAGTTGTGTATAGAAATATAATGTATCAGTGTGATACACTTGATTTATTTGAGTCGTGTATGTCTTGTAATAAATTGTTTAATGTTACACAACACAAAGTACAAACCCTCGAAATAATGAGAATGATCTTCCGTGGCGGCCTAGAATACACTCTGGAATCTGAACCAATCAGAGTGCTCGCATAGAATTCGCTAGCGATTCAAAACACTCCGATATATATTATGTTGTGTACACAATTTAAACTGTATTCGCCACTGTCGGTAACTGAACATCAATAGGCAGCATCATTTGGTCTGGGAACCAGACTACGTGCATTGCAGCGATATTTTGCGTGGGTGGAGCCAGTTTAACCGGCGGTGCCGTAAGCAAAACAATTACCGACCTGGCATCAAGTCTGTTATACATGGACAAGTTACCATATCTATTGGACAACCACAGCGAATACCACAACGTTTCTGGTGAGACAACAAACCCTGTGAGTCAACAGCCGAACTGTCACAGCGTTTTCATTTAATACCCAACAAATTGCCAAAATGGTTTTTCATTTCTCTTTCAAATCTGTTCTGACTGATTGCTCGACCTGACACGCGGAACAGATCGTGAATATCACTTTAAGCTGGACAATCAAACGCATTGTTCTCCACAGAGCCTGGCCCTGGGACCCTTCACGGGGACTTGGTCCCGAATAATACCCCCGATAATTGTACACGGAGGGGTAAAATAGCAAACCTTGAAATACCGCTGCGCACGCACGCCAATCACTGTACATGTAGGTTCACAGAGATTTGCTCGATCAGTACTCGCTACACCGGCCATACTGGTGGGGCAGATAGGGGAAATATTTGTGGGAATTGTGCCTTTGATGATACAAGCATGGAACTTGGCACACAAGTCAGAGTATGTCATGAGAACGATATTTGACTATAGGGCCAACGCAGATTTGTCCTTTGACAACATAGAGGTAGAATAACAAGCAATTTTCAAAATGTGAAAATAGCTGCCATTGCTTGTTACCTATATTTTGTTGTCAAAGGACAAATCTGCGATTGCCCTACAGCCAAATATCTTTCTTATGACATAGTCTGACTGTGTGCCAAATTCAATGCTTTTATCATCAAAGGTTCAATCCCATCACATATCTGCCGTACTATACATGAAGTCGGAATTTGTCCCCAATATTATTCACTTTTAAAGGCATAGACCCTATAGGATCTTTTGCTTTTCATGCATTTTGTTCATTTCCTATGGTCCGATGTGCCATGTAGGCCCTATGTATGTATTTATATATTTTGCGGGGCGGATTTGATCTAACTCTGACATGGTCTGGTGTGCCCTATTGTTCTCGTGTGGCCTATTGTTCTAATTCACACGTATCAAGCCTTATCCCATCATTGATTGGTATGGCCTTTATTGTGTCCCATTTATGTAATACATATGGTGGCTCTGATGTGCCCCACTGAAATGCATTTCTTTGTCAGTTTGCCCATAAACACTGGTATCTGATAATGTTTTTGCTAATTAATAAAAGGCTGTGGCGTCGCCAGGATTTTTTTTCTAGAGGGGGCAAAGCACATTTTTTTAAAATCAAAAATCCATACATTTTCTAGCATTTTTTCGATTGATCATATTTTCGACGGTGGGCAGGGACATTATTTTGTCCTCCAACCCATTATATTAACAACAACATAATAATTAACAACCCAACCTGTCGAAGTGTTAGCTCAGCGGATATTTACACATTTCGAGAAAACCCTGCACTACCTTTTGATCGCGAAACTTGATAGGTCGTCGGTGGCCCCTTTATTTCAGCAAATCAGTCAATTGACTGATCATTGGAAATCACCTAGATTTTTTGATTTCCTTCAAATGAAATCTAACATTTCACGGGGTGTTTAATACCAGAACGATCATTCACCACTTCTTTAATTCAAGTAAGCTGTTTGATAATATTCGCCAGGTTACTTTTTGGGATAGTTGCAAATGATCCTAGATCAAGGCCTGGCAAGTTTATGGTCAACTTTATTTGCATTATGACTCAGCATGAGTGAGAAATATTCAGTGTTATCTCATTAAAGACACACATAATTTCATGGCTTTGTAGCTTCTGCCTAAGACAAGAAGTCACAATTTGGATTGTAATGAATCCTCATGTCACGCCTGAGTTCACGTCGATATTTCAGGTTCCTATATCATGTAGAAGCGAGATACAACATACGGTTGTTGTAAATGTCTGCATTTAGAAATGTATAACTTGCCCTGAATTATGCTAGAGTTATCCCGAAACAATTAAATCCATGCAAATAAAAAATATGCAAATCTTTCATGGGAAAAAATCTGCCAACCGCGATATATTGTCCTTAGAAATCATGACATGTTTGACCTATACAACTGTACGTCTTTTTCAAAAATAATAATTAAAAAAAAGGTTCTTTAATAGGGATCGGCAAGGGTCAAGGCTGAATCAAGACTGGTACCAACTCGTCAGCCTTGACATAACTGCATTGTGCGTCGTCAAGAAACCAGACAAAATGGCAGCACAGTATGACTAATCAGCTTGGTGTCACTGTATCTCCATGTGATTCACTGCATAGGTGGAAATCCGTGAAAATGACCCCATTGCAGTATTTCACAAGAAAACGAATTTTCGAAGTAGGCACGCATGGAAAAGTGGTAACAAAATATATTAGGTGTAGGCCTCAGCAGAGAGCAACAACAGTCTCATACCGAAGTGATTACGACAGGTATTGTGAATACTCGATAATGAAGCTATGCACTTCAACCAGTCGACACGATAGCATTACACTTGATAGAAGTATTATAGGCTGGGCCAAACGCTTCAACGGACAAAGACCAGCGTGTTTGAACACCGAGGTCACGCACAGATGTATTGTCGTCAAGCCCAAGTTAGCAGAGTGATCATTGTGTCATATTAACTAACGTGAGAGGGGAAACTAAAGATCTGTGGGTTTGGGGATGAAAGTTCAGCATCGTGATTGCACAGGTTTTATGACTGTTTGGAATGTCTAGTATGCCATAAAGCTATAAAAAAAGTCTTTCTTTTCAAAACATGATTTTATCTTTAAAACTATTTCAAAAATCTGCACAAGTGCATTGTTTATGTATTTGTGTGGCTTGCAAAGCTTACTTTAATCTCGAAATACAGATATTTCTGTTAGAAATAGCTATTTCTCTATTTGAAGTAGATATATCTGTATTTGAAATAGATATATTTCTATTAGCAATAGATATATTGTTCAATATTCACGTAGCGTGCAAATTGAACTGTAAATCCCAAATAAGAGATATCTCTATTTCAGTAAGAGATAAAGATATCTCTATTACCAGATGTGCCATAGAGATACCTATATTAGAAGAGTGGTGTTATTTTACTGGAAATGGACAAATTGCATAAATAGAAAACGATCCAATATGCCAATAAGATCATTCAATAATTCAGACCACAAACTTCAATATCACATTTATTTTAAAATTCTTATTTAAGTTAATACTATTAGACCTTTCGCACGACAGCTATCATAAAAGGCGGGGCATTTTGGCTTTTGTTATGCCAGTCGTGCATTAATGTTCATGCATTAATTGAAACAACCCAAATACCTTCTGATTTATGCCATATGCAAATGCTCTCTTAAACTGAAATCTTCCAGTAATTTAACTTCGGTTTTCCCCGCTGATTCCCCGATCCACACATTTTTGGCAATGGGTTGTTTATGGTCCATTCATCACACATCAATGAATTCCAACATAGGCCAACAGCCTGGGGGGCTGGTCGGTATCAAATGAGGGGAATAATGCTCATTGTGATTTTTGGCAAGGTATGCACCCCCTGTAGTTGGAAAATATGTGACAGCGTTGCAGCGGTGGCAGCTTTTTGGGTGCTATCACTTAAAAAAAAATGGGGGCCAAAACATGCTTGCTAGCACATATAAATAATCCGGTAACAAGCATATTGGCCGCCATTTTGAAAAAAAAAACATATTAAAAGTGAAAACACCCAAAAAAACTGCCACCGCTCACACTGCAAAGCCATCACACATTTTCCACCTCTAGATGTGCATACCTTGCCAAAAAATCGCTATGGATATTGCTCTTTTCGATCATTTGATACTGATGGCCCAATTTTTGGACCAAGGCTGATAGCCTAATAAGAAATTTCTTCATAATGCCACTAAACATGTATTTCACGTACAGTCAGTCACTTTCATTTTCGTTTTAGGCCTTGAAGGTTTATTCCACGCATTTGATCCCTGTATCGGTGCAAACGATTCAACAACAATTCTGCTCATAACTGAAAGCCACTTAAGACCAACCCACAGACATGATTAGTGCTGTCACTCCTCGCCTTACCTTACAATTGCCTGACTCTCCTCCCAACTGATCTAAATCCACTAGAGATGTCAGTCCTTCACGATGGGACCACTACGCACCAGCAGCACTGAAGTTCAAGTTTCGATCTTGCACCGTTGAATAGTACAGTTCTTAATAAACCACCACGTAGTAGCCTACACGCTTGGCCTCGTTTGCGTTCACAGAACACATCCACCGTATATTTTCATTTCTACCCAACCTCTGTTTCTCTGGCCTTTGCTTTTCTTGAGTGTTTTGATAAGCGAACACAATCGGGGTTTCTTTACTGTGTGGGCTAAACTATTTTTCTATTGAGGTGGGCCTATGTATGAAATAGGGCTCGAGCCGAAGGCGATAGGTATGCAGTCTATAGGGTACTTTTTGGGCGAGGGGAAACAGGAAAACTATTTTAAAGGGCAGCGTGTTTAAGTATTTTTGGGGGCCAGAGTTACACACAAATCTGAATTACGTGTTAGTGGTTGGCACCGTGTTTGTACTTTGTCAGTGGTAATTGACTTCTCTGAGGGGTACTTTGGGTTACCTAGCACCTGTGCCATTTATGGACTTAGAATGATCCCTTAGTTAACTGTTTCAGTACAAGAAAGAATTCTAATAAACAAACACTATTCAGTTTATAACAAATTGCGGAAATACAGTGAGTAGTACATGCATATGTAGAATTGATTTTCACATTGGAAGCAGTGTGAAAAAAAATAAACACAACCTCATTTTTAAGTTCTATTCCTGGTGCCATGGTCCAGTTTCATTGCGAAAAAAACGATTCCCTTTTTTATAAAATTTCTATTTTCCAAGCAATACAAACATTATTTACTTTTGAATGAGACAAAACAAAAACTGGCCCATGTTTGATTATTGAGTTTTAACTGAATAGTTTCGAATTATTGTTTGCCCGTCTGCTCGCAAAGTGGACCTGTTGGTGCCCAAAACATTTTTTTTAAAGGGGGATGCAGACGTCTAAAAAAGGAAATGATGAAGAGCACAGGGAAATTAACTTCAATTTCCAATCCCAGGAATATATATTTCCATTGGTACTGTCGAGTATTTTAAAGTTAGGGCTCACATTCGTGATGAATTAGACCTTCGGTTAAAAGTGAAATGTAAAGTCGGCTCCTCCAACAACTTTGACCCAGACGCCTTTCGAAGTTTTAACTTCCAAAGATTCTTCCGCCTGACTGCCACGGGGCCCTCAGTTTTCTTTCCCGGATGTGAAATGATGAATAGAAGGTTTATTGTTGCAGGTGTAAAGGAAAGCACTAAATAGAGCTGGTATGAGCTTTGCCGGCAGAGAGAAAAAGAAAGGAGTGTATAATGGCATTCACATCAACTAGAGTTTACGCTAAGCCCCGGGCCCTTTGTAGTTCTACTGCTTCCCTGGCCATGCCTGGGTGACAAACATTCCTTTTTCATGTCTTGCCTGACCTTCCATTTCAAAAACGCTCTCAAAACAAGGAAATCGGAAAGAAAAACAGCCCCAGGATGCTAGGACCCTATGTGCTCTTATTGGATTGTGTTTTGTGTCCTTGCCGTGCAAAATAGTAATGTATAGGAAAGCTGTAAACTCCACGTGGAGTGGGTCAACTCTTAATGAGAGACTCCGTGCACGTGCAGAGTAGAAGAAGTTTGCACCTTAACCTTCTGAAATGAAAAGAGGGTTTTATAAAAAGAAGTAGAGGCGTCTACTCGACGTTTAGGCAAGAATACTACCACCATCTTCGAGTGGATGTTGGAGGAAGTGAAAATGTGGTCAGCAATTGTAACAAACATTATATAGTCGATGTCTTCGAAATAGCCACAAAATTTGTCAAATCCTGCCAAAACCAATCGTTCTCAAAAAAGTCCTGTTCCCTTTTTTATTGGAGTTTTAAATAGGTAATCTCTTGTCATTTTTAATCGTTGATTGTTTTTGAAACATTTATTTTTCTTCATTTTACAGTTTTAAGATTGTGGTGTTTTTTTGTGTGATGTGAATGTGTGTTTCTTCGTTTTTTGCAATATTTGGTCCATGTATCTTTTGTGCATAAGCCTCGTAATTTACAGTATTTTTGTGTTGATAACCTTACAATTGCTGCAATACGGCGACAGACTTCTCAAGTGTGATTCTTAAGCGACCCTTAGGACAAGGAATGTTAATGTCGCGACCCATCCAGATCGATTCCTCGTCGTCCAATTAGCCTAAATACCGAATTTTTTGTAAACTTGGGTTAGGTGACAGTTTAGGTTTGTGTACGTGTCTATGGGAAAGTAATATCATAATACTACTAAGAATTATTATATTATACATATCTTTTTATTGTAACATACCTGTAATTTGGCCGTCAGGCCACGAGATGTATGTAATAAAAACCAAACCAAACCAACTGGGATCAGAAGTAAAATATAATATTGCAGATAAAGATAATTTTCAAACCTATAGCCAATCTAGGAAATTTGTATGTGAACGGTGAAGATTACTTTATGTCTGCATGTGTACCTTTTGTCTTACTGTGTCGTTTCGTTTATCTTTCTTAGTGCATTGTTTTTGTAATCCGTATTCTTCTTGTGCTCTCATTATTATTAGTGCGTATAGTTTCTGTACGTGAGCCGTATAAGTCATTAATGGTCATATCCGTCGCCAGTAACTGAAGGACAGCTCGACTTCGACATTTCAAAATTACATCCCTCTTAAAGTACTGATCTCCATTCTTTCTATTGGAAAGCAAGCATTGTGTTTGAATGTCGGTACCGGTCCCCACTTCATCAAATTAAAGTGTCCATGAAATGATTTTTTTCTGAGGAACACATTTTGTGCATCTTTCCACTCCTTTTAAATGTATGAAAACTATTTGACATCCCTTTTTGGTTAATTTGATTCAAAAGTGTTCTTCTTTAATTATTTGAAATATCCATGCTTTTCCGCAAAACTGAGGGCGCTGTTGCTGTGATGTCATTTCAGGAAGACACTGTTCAGTTTAGTGGTTTTCTGTTCAAATGTGAACCGCAAAATCTCCCCATTGTAAACATTTGTGAGAATAGTTTGGCTACCATGTACTGACACAACAACAAATTACCGAAAAAAAGAAAATTTACAACAGCAAAATATCCAAAATTCTGGTAACATTTTGTGCTGAAATAGCTGAAACCGGGGGTTTCTGCCTGAAATGACATCCCGCTTTGCTCATGAATATGGAAATTCGAATTGGCATAACAACCAAAAAGGCACCAAAATACCCATGACAATGGCAAAACGAAAATTGAAAAAAAGGTTAAATGTGACACAAGGGTGCATTTTCAAGGATTGCATAAAAACAAAATACATAACAAAAGTCATGAGCCCTTTAAGCGACTCTCACCATTAACTATGAACCCTCAGCAGAACATTTTGTTCGCTTAGTTATCAATGATTCAGTAGATCAGTTTGCATACAATATGATCCCAGTTCTATACAGCCGCACATCCCTCAACCTAGTTACAGCCAGTTGACAGATTATTGTTAATAACAGATAGGAAAAGAAAAAGAAAGAAAGAAACAGACACCCACGATTTATCACGAACCCCAAAACCCACGCGCCCATCGATCACAACTGGGCACACGAAAGCAAACAGATGGGTCACACCTCGAATTCCACAAAGTTGGCGTTCAGAGCTGCTGATGTCACTAGTCCCAAAGAGACAAAACAAGTGCGCGCGCATCTTGCACTGTTGGGAAATGAACCAATCACGTTTCTCGTGGCTGCGCGTTTGAATGTGTGCGGAAAGGCGGAGGTGTCCCTTCGGGACATGGAGAAGTCCGCAAAACCCAGCAGCAAATTTCACTCCAACTGTATGAAGTCCATGTACTTCCAAGTTAATCAGTTCATCATTTGCAATTTTGTTTTGCCATAATCAAACCATTTCTTCAGAGAACTCCAGTCATGAATCAAAGCTGACCGTACAAATTATTTATTTTCTGCGAGTGTGAGCACAGGCGTCGTTTGACGCGTAGCGAATCGAAAATTGATTGAGTTTGTATTTGTAGTCCATGTAGGGGCCTCAAGTAAATATTTGTATTAATCCAACCTAGTTTACGTTTGAGGTGCAAGATTGATCATCCAAAGTATAAGGGGTTTCCACCATGTGTATAATTCTAAAAAAAAAAAATTACATTTCAAGCTGCATTATTTGAAAAACAGAATTCCATATTCTTAATAGAGCATACAAGATGTTGATAATGGATGTTAATTGCAGGCTAATTAAGGTAGGGGAGATCATTTGTCACTTGTACAATTTTTTTTCGTTTGCAGCATCACAAATTCTCAAAATCTAAAGAAGGGAACTTAACAACTAGCCTGATAAACGTTTGGTTCAGTTAATGCTTTATAATCCGAGAAAATAATATTCGAATTCAGTTCAGAAGTTGTCGAGTCATGTTTTGAATGGCGCCCGAAATCAGCGTTAGGGACACGTTCTCATTCAACCGAAGGTGCGTCTTTATAGACGCATCTTTGGACAAAACCTTCTCTTTAGTTATTGTTTTCTTGAAAATGACAGCATGCCATTTTACATGGAGTCTAGTAAATCAAGTATGCTTTTCAACAGTCATTTCGTCATTTACTTTTTGGATAGCTTCAGATGATATACTCTACCTTTAAACGCTATGTGTATGACACGAGCAAGTGTTTTTCACGTGCTTTCTGCAAATTGACGGTATCTGAGTATTAACTTTATCGATCGATGCAGTACTCTGTTTGTTAAATGTACCAGGCCAATTATAAGTACATTGTACCCAATCGTGAAAGTTCTTATTTTTTGTTGTTTATTTTTATTTTATTTGCGTGAGGTGTGACTGCCCGCTAGCGTAATTCCTTACGTTTAATTTGACCGTAGCTGGCAGGATTGGGTTACGTAAACAAAAGGTGACCGATCAATTGGTCAAATGCACACGTGACGAGTATTATTAATTTAAATTAACAAAAAAGATCGAATATAACTTCACCCCTTGCTTTTCACCATGTGGCACTCCCAGATGGGAACTGTTTCCATAATTTAACGTGCGATGCGGACGTGGTTGTAATCAAAAATGCAAGTATAGACCGTACGTGATTAAAGGCAATAAAGTAACACCAGCAGACAGCAGCAGAAACAAGTCGGGCAATTTACGTCTTTATGATACACTTTCACAATGAAATCTTAGTGAAGGTTTCATAGATTTACCATGATTTAGTGATTTTGGGCTGTGTGATGTAGTGAAGGTGCTTTAGGCTGACAAAAATTAATTTACGGATCTGACAAGTTCATAGAATTTTCTT